TGCAGTAGTGTTTTGTAGTTTTCTTTGTATAGATCTTTTACATCCCTGGTCAGATTTATTCCTAAGTATTTTATCTTTTTAGGGGCTATTGAAAATCTTACTGTTTTCCTGATTTCCTTTTCATCGTTTTCCTTATTGGTGTATAGGAATCCAACTGATTTTTAAATGTGACCAAACATATTTAATGATAATAAAAAGACTTTAACAAAGAATTCACTCGTACTTAAGTATTGGGCAGTCGGCTTTCTGTATAATTTATTTATTCATGCAGTTATATTTGCACTTCTGTGGCCTGATTGGCTAGCATTGGTTACAAGGGGACCGTGTGGGTTCAGGAGACGAATGGGGTCCCTGACTGAGTACTGGGAAGCTGCTCTGGGCACTGCTAGATACATTTCTCTGAAAAAGAAAGCAAGCTCTGAGGTCAAAAAAACATACCTCCAACCCACGACTCACTTTTTTTTAACCAGTAGGGAAAACAATTGCACACAGCATTCTTTTCAGGTATATTTTGAGATCTTGTATTGCCTTTCAAAGGAGCTCTGGTGGCACAATGGTTAAGTGCTCTGCTGCTAACTGAAACGAACCCCTCTAGCAGCTGTACAGGAAAAAGACCAGGGGATCTGCTCCTGCAGAGATTATAGCCTAGGAAACCCTATGGGGCAATTCTACTCTGAGGTTATGAGTTGAAAATCAACTGGACAGCATCTAACAACATTGCCTTCAGAGCTCGTTTGATATATGTGGGGTGTGGAGACAGAGGAAAGGGAAAATGGGAGGGAGTAAAAGATAAAAATGTATTTAAAATAATTTGATTAAAAGTGACCTACTTTCTAAACCTTTATTGCCAGTGTTTTGGGTCATTAATATTTAGGTTCTATAATAATGGCCTTTCAACAGAATGAACAGTAGATTGCTGGTTTGGAAAGGTGGGTAGGATCTGAAGATCTCAAAGAAATCTTTTAAAGAGGGCAGCCACATGACTCAGCCAGGTGATGGATTCTTCAGAGAAAATGGAGTTTTAGGTGGGGGCTGTACACTTCAGTTTGCCAGGGCCAGTCCCAGTTTGTGCTTGATGTTCCAGCAGTTATTAACGGAACTCTTCTTAAAGGGTCTCCGGGTGGTGCAGATGTTTAAGTGATTGGCTGCTAAAGGTCAGCGGTTCACATCCACCCAGAGGCACCTTGGAAAAAAGGCCTGGTGATCTACTTCTGAAAAATCAGCCATTGAAAATCCTAGCACACAGTTCTACTCTGATACACATGGGGTTGCCACGAGTCAGACTTGACTGGACAGCAGCTGTACTGGATTTGACTCTCCAGAATCCTGGTCTGAAGGTCACCCTGGTTAGAGTTCATGGAGCATGGAAGGCTCTGGTGTGCTGAATGGGACTGAACAAGACTCCAGAATGAGGAGCATGGAAGGGAGGATTATTTTATGAGGGCAGTTTCTGTTCAGGCCTTAAAAGGCTTTTTTCTGAGTGCTCTCTGAAATGCTCTGCAGACTTTCTTCTGACGCGCTTCTCATCATCAGTTTATTTTTCTTTGAGGAGCTTTTATGGGGCAAGTATGTCTCGGCACGCCTGGATTTCGTTTGGACTCGTAGGCAGTAGTGTTGCTTGTGTGTGTTTCAAGCCTGGACAGACTGGCTGTGAATGGGGTGATAAGAATAGGGAGAAGCACATACCGGTAGACCAAACTTCCTGTTCACAAGCCTTTGAATACTGCTTTTCACTTCTGAAATAGCATTCATCTTAGGGCCGGGATCATTTATTCTCTCTGGAATTAAGCAATAGCACTGGCAGCCACAGAAACTATTTTGGGAAGGAGACATGGGAGGAGTTTTGCTGTGTGTTCAGTGCTCCGCAGAAGCACTCTTCATACTTTTGATGACTGCACTGTTCAGTATAGTCCTTCTGAGTGGTAGTCGACAACTCTCAGGTAGTCCCAAATGTAATCAGTGTCAACGCTAATGTGTATGCACTCCCACAAAAAACCCAAACCCACTGCTGTTGAGTCGATTCCAACTCATAGCGACCCTATAGGACAGAGTAGAACTGCCCCATAGGGTTTCCAAGGCTGTAAATCTTTACAGGAGCAGACTGCCACATCCTTCTCCCACGGAATGGCTGGTGAGTTCGAACCACTAACCTTTCAATTAGCAGACGAGCACTTTAACCACTGTGCCACCAGGGATCCTCATGTATATGTACTATGAACTATAAATATCAGTAAAAATTGAATTTAGGTGCTTCAAATTAACTAACTTAAATTGCAGAAAGCGTCCTTGTCTTTGGAAACTAGCCTGTAGTACACATGCTGTTGCGAAGCGGTAAAATACAGTATCTTATTCCTATTCCCTCCTCACATATGCCCCTGCAGATTGTCTGTTGCACATGTATTCTCACGAAGACTTTTCTGGATATTGCGGAAGTTTAAAATAAGGCAATGAATGCTGTTTCCCCCTCCCCCCCACCCTTTCATAAAGCTGAGGTGGGTAGGGCTTGGCAGCTGGTGGCAGCTGCAGAGATAAATAAGCCCTGGGGCTCCTGTACGGACAGGATGTAGAGGAGCCCGGGATGAGGGTATGCAGGTATGCGTGCCATCCGTGGGGAGATGCCATGAGGACAGAGCTGCAGCTGGAGTCCAGAAGATGTTCAGGCCATGAAAAGGAGGTGGGGCTTATAGGAACCCATTTGATAGTCCTTTTGATCAAGCTATTGCTTTCTGGGGGTTGACGGGTTACTTTATAGGGCAGATATAAGTCAGATGGACCTTAAATAACATCTGTCTTGTCATTTGTTAATGTATTTAAGGGAGATCGGGGAACTCTGTTGATCTGTTCCTATTTCACTTTTCTCTTCAATACTAATTCACCTAATGGGATATAACTGCCTTCTGAATTTTGTCTTTGCAAATGAGCTCCAATCAGGAATCGAAAAAATCAGCCCAGTGCTGCTTAATTTTTTTCTATTTTGTGACTGATAAATACTTTGGAACGTGTTTTTCTATAGAAGGCTTTTGAATTCTGTTTTTATGTGGTAGGTGTAATGACAACAGGTGTTTTCATATTGGCATTGGAATGAATGTGGGGGGTGAGGATGTTGAGGTTCCCTATCCCCAAACAATACTGTCCAGGCTGATGGTAAGCATTTCGTAGATTCTGCTTTCTGCTGTTGACAAATGCGTAGTTACTTAAAGTTAAAAATCATAAATCTCGACATGTTTTAAGTGGGGAGCCTGGTGAAGTGTGGTTAGCAGTGTCATTATAGACATCACTGATTTTTTGAAAAAATGAACTATCGTTTTATTTTCCAGTTAATCAAAGTTTTAACGATCTCAGAATTCAAATATATTGATGGCTTTCCATTTGGACATGATGTAAAATGTTCTTTTTAGAGCCACATTCGTATGTTTTTCTAATTTTACTCACTCATGGGAGAAATTAGTGGAAAAGACCTTTATATGATGACCAGGCATAAACAGCTTTGAAAATATTGAAGCTTTTCAAGAAAGTAAGTCAAACACATAGATATGCCTTTTAAATCAAAAGATGCTTATGTAGCGTTTTGCTTTTTGTGTGTCCAACAATAGAATAATAAAACTTTTGTAGAAAAATAATTTTAAGTGCAAATGTTAAGTCTGCAGTTGTGAAAGAACTACATGTTGTTGAAGGTAGACAGGTGAAGGGTGGGAAGGGGGATGGACAGGAAACGGAGATAAGAAAAATGAAAATGAACATTGAAGTGTCTGGAGAATTGATAAATTAAGAAAAGCCTCACTGAGTGCTGATACGTGCTAGGGTCAGACTGGGATACACAAGTTACGAGGGCAACCTTATTTGAGTTGTGGAGCAGAATCAGGCATCATTAACTTCAGTTTCATTTGGATCCTTACATGCACCCATAAAAGATGATGGAAAGGCATGAACAGCTGAGTGTCTGTGGTCTATATGTAGAATGAAGTTGCCGATGGTCCTGCCTTGGGTCTTTTTACGTGGAGTTGTCTCCATTCCCACAAGCCCACTCACCTCCCTATGCTGTCTGTGTTCCAGGAGCGTCAGCGTCTGGAGACAATCCTCAGTCTTTGTGCTGAATACACCAAGCCCGACAGCTGCTTAGCCACTGGCACCACCGTGGCCCATGTGCAGAAAATCAATAAGGAGCTTGAGAAGCTGCAGCTCTCTGATGAGGAGTCTGTATTTGAAGAAGCCCTGGCGATCCCTGACATGAGATACAGGTGCCACCGGAAAGGCTCTCTCCATGATGTGGACTTGGCTGGCTTTGGGAGTCTCAGCCAGAGCAGTGCCAGCTTCCTCTCCCCAAGGAGCATCAGAAACGATGAACTGTTCACTGACCTCATGAAGACTCCCCCACTACCTTCTTCTGCCTTTCTGAAAGCTTCCAGCGAGTCCACTTATCTAAGTATCCTACCAAAGGTAATGCTGGCAGAGCAGAGACTAGGATTTAACACCTAGTGCTATGCATATACATCAGGCTAGAAGTTACACATTTCACCATGTTGATTTTCCAAAATGTCTTCAGTGAAGCTTATCAACAAGGTCAACAAATTTACATGTTTACCACAAGTAACAAAATTGCACTGTAAAAAATGTAGCAGTATAGGAGGGTACAAGGAGAAAAATAAGTTTCTCTTCTTGTTCCCTACTAGTTGTATACTTGAGAGAGAAACACAGTTAAAAAGTGCCTTATGTGCCTTCCTGGTATTTTCTGTGCATATATGGCTATATATTATTGGCATACCAAATCAAAAAAACCAGTTGCTGTCAAGGTGATTCTGACTTATGACAACCACATGTGTGTCAAAGTAGAACTGTGCTCCATAGGGTTTTCTTTTCTTTTTTTTTAAGTTTGATTGTACTTTAAGTGAAAGTTTATAGCACAAATTAGTTTCTCACTCAAAAATTTATACACAAATTATTTTATGACATTGGTTGCAATCCCCCAATGTGACAGCATTCACCCCCTTTCCACCCCAGGTTCCCCATGTTCATTCGTCCAGTTTTCCTTTCCCTTCCTGACTTCTCATCTTGCTTTTGGGCAGTAGTTGCCCATTTGGTCTCATGTATTTGATTGAACTAGGAAGCATGTTCCTTATGTGTTACTGTTTGTTTTATAGGCCTGTCTAATCCTTGACTGAAAAGTGGGCTTCAGGAGTGGCTTCAGTTCTAAGTTAGCAAGGTGTCTAGGGGCCATAGTCTTGGGGCTTCCTCCAGTCTCTGTCAGACCAGTAAGTCTGATCTTTTTTTGTGAATTTGAATTTTCTTCTACATTTTTCTCCCACTGTGTCTGGGACCCTCTGTTGTGATGTCTGTCAGAGCGGTTGGTGGTGGTAGCTGGGCACCATCTTGTTCTTCTGGGCTTAGGTTGGTGGAAGCTTTGGTTCATGTGGTCCTTTAGTCCTGTGGGCTAGTATTTTCCTTGTGTCTTTGGTTTTCTTCATTATCCTTTGTCCCAGATGGGATGGGACCAATAGATGGCCACTTTCAAGCTTTTCAGACACCAGATGCTACTCACCAAAGTAGGATGTAGAACATTTTCTTTATAAAACTGTGTTATGCTGATTAACCTAGATATCTCCTGAGACCATGATCCTCAGACCTCAGCTGCAGTAACTTGATCCCTCAAGGTATTTGGATGTGTCTAGGAAGTGTCTATGACTTTGCCTTGGTCAAGTTGTGCTGACTTTCCTATACTGTGTATTGTCTTTCCCTTCACTGAAGTTGATACTTGTCTGCTATCTAGTTAGTGATTTCCCTTCCCCAACCCTCCCCTCCCTTGTAACCATCAAAGATTGTTTTTTCCTGTGTGTAGTAAACCTTCTCTTGAGTATTTATAATAGTGATCTCATAAATACTTGTCCTTTTGTGATTGACTTATTTTACTCAGCATAATGCCCTCCAGATTCATCCATGTTGTGAGGTGTTTCATGGGTTCATCATTGTTCTTTATCATTGCATAGTATTCCATTGTGTGTATGTACCATAGTTTGTTTATCCATTCATCTGTTGATGGGCACGTAGGTTGTTTCCATCTTTTTCCTATTGTGAACAATGCTGCAATGAATGTGAGTGTGCATATGTCTATTCTTGTGATGCTCTTATTTCTCTAGGATATATTCCTAGTAGTGGGATTGCTGGATCTTATGATATTTCTATTTCTAGTTTTTAAAGAGGCACGGTATCATTTTCTATAACGGTTGTACCATTTTACATTCCCATCAGCAGTGCATAAGAGTTCCAATCTTGCCACAACCTCTCCAACATTTATTATTTTTTGTTTTTTTTGATTAGTGCCAGTATTGTCGGGGTGAGATAGTATCTCATTGTAGTTTTGATTTGCATTCCTCTAATGGAGCCCTGGTGGCACAGTGGTTAAGAGCTTAGCTGCTAACCAAAAGGTCAACAATTTGAATTCACCAGCCTCTCCTTGGAACTCCCTGTGGGGCAGTTCTATCTTGTTCTGTAGGGTCCCTATAAGTCAGAATCAATAGCAACATGTTTGGTTTTGGAATGGCTAATGATTGCGAGCATTTCTTCATGTGTCTGTTAGCCGCCTGAATGTCTTCTTTTGGTGAACTGTCTGTTCATATCGTTTGCTCATTTTTTGATTGGATTGTTTGTCTTTTTGTTGTTGAGGTTTTGAACTGTTCTATAGATTTTAGAGATTAGACCCTCGTCAGATGTATCATAGCCAAAAAATTTTTCCCCGTCTGTAGGTTCTCTTTTTACTCTTTTGGTGAAATCTTTTGATGAGCATAAGTGTTTAATTTTCAGGAGCTCCCAGTTATCTAGTTTATATTCTGGCATTTGTGCGTTGTTAGTTATGGCCTCTAACTTTGTTCTTCTTCTTCAGTAATGGCTTACTTTCCATAGGATTTTCAATGGCTGACTTCTTTGAAGTAGACTGCCAGGCCTTTCTTTCAAGGCCCCTCTGCGTAGACTCAAACCTTGAACCTTTCGTTTAGTAGCTGAGCATGTTAACCATTTGTACCACCCAGATCTTTTTTTGTCACTAAATGTCTTGGGCATCTTTGCATATTAATACACACAGCTCTAACTCATTTTTTATTCTTTTTAGAAAATCTTTTTTTAAAATTTTTTTATTGTGGAGTAAGTAAAAGTTTACAGATCTACCACATTCTTTTTTTTTAATTGTGCTGTAGGTGAAAGTTTACAGCTCAGTTAGTTTCTCATACAAAAATTTATACACACGTTGTTCTGTGACCCTAGTTGCTATTCCTATAATGTGACCGCACATTCTTCCTCTCCACCCCAGATTTCCTGTGTCCATTCAACCACCTCCTATCCCTTTCTTTTTTTAACCTTCTTATTTTATTATTATTTTTTAAATTGTACTTTAGATGAAGGTTTACAGAACAAACTAGTTTCTCATTAAACAGTTAGTAACATACTGTTTTATGACAATGATTAACAACCCCACAACATGTCAACAGTCTCTGTTCTCAAGCTTGGGTTCCCTATTGCCAGCTTTCCTGTCCCCTCCTGCCTTCTAGTCCTTGTCCCTGGGCTGTTGTGCCTCTTTAGTCTCATTTTGTTTTATGGGCCTGTCTAATCCTTGGCTGAAGGGTGCACCTCTGGAGTGACTTCATTACTGAGCTAAAAGGGTGTCAGAGGGCCATACTCTCGGGGTTTCCCTGTTCTCTGTCAGGCCAGTAAGTCTGGTCTTTTTCTGTGAATTAGAATTTTGTTCTACATTTTTCTCCGGCTCTGTCCGGCACTCTCTGTTGTGATCCCTGTCAAAGAAGTCACTAGTGGTAGCTGGACACCATCTAGTTGTACTGGACTCTGTCTGGTGGTGGCCATGGCTCCTGTCCCTCTCTGCCTTCTCATCTCGCCTCGGGACAGGAGCTGCCCATTTAGTCTTACGTAGCTACTTGAACTAAGCAGCACACTCTCCGCAAGTATCATTTTAAGTCTTATAGTCCAGTCTATTGTTTGTGTGAAGAGTTGGCTTCGGGAATGGTTGTAGTTCTGAGTTAACAGAGAATCTGGGGGCCGTGTATTCTGGGGTTCCTCCAGTCTGAGTCAGACCATCAAGTCTCGTCTTTTTCCTAGAATTTGCGTTCTGCACCCCACCTTTCTCCTTCTCCATCAGGGACTCTGTTGTGTTCCCTGTCAGGGCGGTCATGGGTGGTAGCCGGGCACCATCCAGTTCTTCTGATCTCAGGCTAATGGAGTCTCTGGTTTATGTGGCCCTTTTGTCTCTTGGACTAATATTTTCCTTGTGTCTTTGGTGTTCTTCATTCTCCTTTGCTCCAGATGGGTTGGGACCAATTTATGCATCTTAGATGGCTGCTTGCTAACTTCTAAGACCCCAGACGCCACTCACCAGAGTGGGATGCAGAACGTTTTTTAATAAACTTGGTTATGCCGGTTGAACCTAGATGTCCCCTGAAACCATGGTGCCCAGAACCCCACCCTTGCTACACTGTCACTTGAAGTGTTTGTTGTGTTCAGGAAACTTCTTAGCTTTTAGTTTAGTCCAGTGGTGCTGACTTCCCCTGTAGTGTGTATTGTCCTTCCCTTCACCTAAGATAATTCTTGTCTACTATCTGGTTAGTGAATTCCCCTCCCTCTCCCTCCCGACCCTGGTAACCATCAAAGAATGTTTTCTTCTGTGTTTAAACCTTTTTTTGAGTTCTTATAATAGTGGTCTTATACAATATTTGTCCTTTTGCGACCGACTAATCTCACTTAACATAATGCCTTCCAGATTCATCCATGTTAAGAGATGTTTTGCAGATTCATCACTGTTCTTTATCGTTGGATAGTATTCCATTGTGTGAATATACCATAATTTGTTTATCCATTCATCCCTTGATGGGCACCTAGGTTGTTTCCATCTTTTTGCTACTGTAAACAGTGCTGCAGTGAACATGGGTAGGCATATATCTATTTGTGTGATGACTCTTATGTCTCTTGGATTTATTCTAAGGAGTGGAATTGCTGGATCATATGGTACTTCTATTTCTAGCTTTTTGAGGAAGCACCAAATTGATTTCCAAAGTGGTTGTACTATTTTACATTCCCACCAGCAGTATATAAGTGTTCCAGTCTCTCCATAGCCTCTCCAACATTTATTATTTTGTGTTTTTTGGTTTAATGCTAGCCTTGTTGGGGTGAGATAGTATCTCATTGTAGTTTTGATTTGCATTTCTCTAATGGCTAATGATCGTGAGCATTTTGTCATGTATCTGTTAGCTGCCTGAATGTCTTCTTTGGTGAAATGCCTATTCATATCCTTTTTCCCGTTTTTTAATTGGGTTATTTGACTTTTTGTGGTTGAAGTTTTGCAGTATCTTGTAGATTTTAGAGATTAGACCCCGATCGGATTTGTCATAGCAAAAAATTTTTTCCGAGTCTGTAGGCTGTCTTTTTACACTTTTGGTGACGTC